AGAAAGCTGAATCGGACTGGTTGTCGAGATATTCTCAAAAACGTGTGTTTTCGGCGAGAAAGGCGTTTTTTTAACCTCTAAAACGTACCGTCTCAGCGCGCCAGCGACATCTGGTACAATCGGACTCCGGGACGACTTGTCGCATACCTACCCACAAGTTCTCAGAAAGTTATGCGGGCAGAGAGCCAGTAGTCTTGTCGCAGTTGCATTTCCCGAGGTCGAAAAAAGGCCTAAAATGACGTCTTTTTTCGCCAAAATTCAACATTTTTTCATATTTCCCAAAAAAAGTCTATATATGAAACATTTTTAGACTTTGTAACTATACGGACCAGATGTATTTTTTCATGCTCTTTCTCGTTAGCTATCGTCATCAAGCTGAATTTTGGTACTTTTTTGTACAGACTCGTTTTTATGCCTAAAAATCGACGAAAAACGTGATTTTGTACCGAAATGATCGCGCGTTTGACTACCGTGAAGTCAAAAATGATGCAAATCGTTTGGATCGAGCAGATTCGTAATCTCCGTAAAATTCCGCACCTTAAAGTGGGTTCATATCAGTCTGTCGCATTCCAACTTCCAAAATGGCGTGAATTTATTTCCAACCGGTGAGAGTGACGACTAATTTCATCTATCCGAACTAGTTGCCATGAACTCCCAAAAAAGACCACTTTTTGCGAAAAATTTGGGAATTTCCCCGAAACAACGATTGATCTAGGTATAATAACAGTACCGAACACCTAATATTCAGTCACATTGAAAAAAGGGTTTCAGGAGAAAAAGTTATTAACGTTTTAGTCGACAAAATGTTGAAAAGTGATGAAAATTCATGTTTTTTAATGATTTTCACATCAAAATTTGAAATTTTGCCCGAAAAGTTTATGCCAATCCGAATAATTAGGTTAGCCGCAGATGATCCACCCCGCTCGATTTGCCAAATGTCACAAAAAAAATCCAGACGACAACATTTGTACGAATAAAAACAAAACGGGTTGATCAATACTACATGATTGTATAGAACAATATGTCCCACTAAATGTACGCTACAATCCCCCAAAGAAAGCGGTATACAAAACTTACTCACAGACGACGTAATCTGGCAAAAAGTAGATTTTCTTACAGGATTTGACTCGTATTTTTCGTACTTATTTGAATATTACGTACTTATTGCGGGTCCACATAAAATACGCACTTAAGCGGGGCTTAGGGTTAGGGTTACCTGAGAAAGGCATTCGACATCATAAATTACCGAAATTTACGTACTTTCTCGTATGGCCCCAGCGGAGTCTAAAAATAGCCATCTATACTTTAACTCTAATAAATATTCTAACACGTAGAACGAGCCTCAAGGTGTTCGGGGGTGCACCGATCCCTATATATGTGGGGTGGTAAGGTAAGAAAAAAAAACTAATCTTATTGTTGGAAACGACGCTGTAAGGTTAAAGACCCCCCGCCTTCTGTGTGTCGATCCTCTATGAACTGGTAATGGAAACAAGGGTACTTTACCGTTTATAGACCGGGGAGCGCAGTCGTATGTTTTGTTGTGGCATGGCTAATACTAATCAATCTAACGTCTTGTTTTGGTCGCGGAGAAAGGTAACGACGTCTACTATTGGGAAGAGCAGTAAGGTAGGTTCGACGGGTTAGTTAGTACTACAGAAGCAATAGTTTAGAACGACACAAGGGTTAGCAAACTAATTTTAATATCAAAAAGAATCGTCGGGGAGGTTTTGTTGATTGTTTTGTGGCACCAACTTCTGTTTAAATTGGTGGTTGAGTTGGCAGACTAATTCTGCTATTGAAAGGGATAGTTGGGGAAGCTCTGTTGATCCGTTAGTGGTATCAATTAATTGTTTGGATTGGTAATGGAGTTAGCTTGCTAATTCTGTTATTGAAAAGAATGGTTAGTGAAGTATCATTTAATTGGTTGTATGGGTCTAGCCGATTATTTGGATCGATAGTGGGGTTGACTTGTGAATTTGGCTATTGAAATAAATAAGGGGGAAGTGTTTACGGATTATTGGATGGACCGAACTTACTTTTGGGCTGGTATTGGAGTTGGGAAACTAATTCTAGTGTTGAACTAAACGGTTGGGGAAGTAGTGTTGATTGATCTGTTGGACCGAACTAATTATTCGGAAAAATGGTGGAACTGGTTGCCTAACTCGGTTGCCAGAATGAATTGATGTGGATTGTACCACCAATGAAACGTGGAACTGGATGCGTGTTATTAAATCGATAGTGGGTTGGTTCTCAATCTATTGTTGGTTTAAGGACATTTCTGAAAGTTCTTTTTGATAATTGATCGATCAGCGGGGCAGACTTAATTATTTGGATCGATACTGGAAACGTAGTTAATTTCTGGTGTTGAAAAGAATAGCTGAGAAAGTTCTAATTGATTGGTCAACGTGGGGCAAACGAATTGTTTGGATCCGTTTTGGAAACGTAGTTAACTTTCGAAATGGAGAAGAATGATTGGAATGTTCAGTTTGATCTGTTGTAAGGCAAAGTACTTGGCTGTTTCGTTTGGAGCTGGGAATATTTATTGTTTCTAGTATTGAATGGAAGGGTTGGAGAAATGCTCGACAACCATGTTATTTTTGCGATCTTATTTTGAATAAGACTGCTCAAATTTGGCAATTGATGGTATTCTCTATGTATTCTTTTAGGAATGATTTCGAGTCATTTCCAGGATACGTATAGATTACAAAACATAGTGCGCTCGTATTGCTTTGGAATTTGTTTCAGAGTGATCATGCGTGCGAAAAGATAATGAGGTTGTATTCATATGCTATGCATTCGAATTCAGTTTTATTTGATACATTATAGGCGTTGCGCTGTGTACTTTGTGCTAATGCGGTGTTGGAGTTGTTGACGAGAGTGCGTACGTGGATTAGTGACCTGTGTACATGTTTTTGACTGCGATGAGATACTGCTGACGCTGCGATGTGCAACAACAACGCTCTATCGGTACTGGCGTGAAGGAGTATTGTGATGGACGGTTTAGTGTGTGTATGGATTTCGGTCTGTATGTCGCTTTGACAGAATCTATTATGGTACGTTTTGCGCTGGATTATCCGGTGGAAAGATTTCAAATTTGGGTAGAACCAAACTTGATCTGGGGCTAGTATGCGGTTTGCCGAGGTGTAAAATCCAAAGTGGACTGTGTCGTGCTCTATTATTTGCTTCTTGCTCTGCCTTTGGTGGGGCTGTTGAAGTGAGGATCGTAATTTATCTTTCTATGCTGAAAGTATGAAGAATGATTTCTCGGCTAATAGTGATGACGTTGAGGAAGTGTGTGTTAGGATCGAGACTGTGTTGCTTTCGGGTGATGTGATTTTGGTCTAGACGTGCCTTTCTTCGTTGTTGTTTGTACTGGGGCGAAGTTTTCGTCTTGAATAGTATGGAAGATATTAACCTGGTTGATCCTGCCAGTAGTCATACGCTTGTCTCAAAGATTAAGCCATGCATGTCTAAGTATAAACAATTTTGTACTGTGAAACTGCGAATGGCTCATTATATCAGTTATAGTCTACTCGATAGTACCTTACTACTTGGATAACCGTAGTAATTCTAGAGCTAATACATGCATAAATACCCAACTGTGTAAACGGGCGGGTAGCATTTATTAGATTGAAACCAATGCAGTCTTCGGGCTGGTGTTGTGTTGAATCATAATAACTGTGCGGATCGTGCTTTGCGCGATAAATCGATTGAGTTTCTGCCCTATCAGCTTTGGATGGTAGGATATGGGCCTACCATGGCATTAACGGGTAACGGGGAATTAGGGTTTGATTCCGGAGAGGGAGCCTTAGAAACGGCTACCACATCCAAGGAAGGCAGCAGGCGCGTAAATTACCCAATCCTGATACAGGGAGGTAGTGACAATAAATAACAATGCTCTGGCTCTTTGAGTCGGGCAATTGGAATGAGAACAATTTAAATCCCTTAACGAGGATCAATTGGAGGGCAAGTCTGGTAGAATACGTATCATTATACTGCTAAAAGGGTTTTGTTCTACCGAAGAATGAAACGAAAGTAAATCTGATCCAAATTGGAGCCGCCTTGTCGTGGCGGGTCGGCTTTAAACCAAGAGCTCCAAAAGACCGATTCGGAGGTAGGATTGACGGGCGAAGAGGTCAAAAAAGAAACCACCAACTATATGGTGATGCATGGTGCATCGGCAAAGCCGATGCGTGGTTTCGACGTCGGGTAAAATTAGAGTGGCCAGACGAAAAACGGTAGGGCCTCAGCTTGATCAGGCGAGCCATGGTCGTTGAAAGTATTGTAAGAATGACGACGGCCATCAAATGAAGAAGACCAACTTGTATCTTGAACTTGTTCAGGGTCAAATGGCAGGTAACGCTCGAGTTTTCGCAACGTACGGAGCCTTGACATGGTCGATGACAAGATCGTGAATGGGCCGAGGAAATTGCTTGAGAACGAGAGTAAAAACCAGTTGGGTAGTGTCGCGAAGGTTGGTGTCAAACAACTGACGTGAGCTACTCGATAGCAAGAACTTCACTTGCTGCCACCCCGTAAGGGAGGTGGAGCGCATTGCTTCGGCAACTGCATGAGCGCGGAGTATTTCGGTGATCTTGATGCGTGGAATGATGCTTGGAGACTTCATTTCGCCATTAAGTGAGTCGGGGTACAAAGTGCGGGTGGACGCGTGCATACTTGACCAAGCAGTATGTACGGGAAAGCTTCGGGTGATTAGGCGCTTTTAAAAGGTCATACCAGAACGGTAGCTGGGGGTATGATCATCAAGAGCGTTTATGTCCCACTCCCGATCCAAATTGGAGCCGCCTTGTCGTGGCGGATCGGCTTTAAAACCAAGAGCTCCAACCCCCCCCCCCCAAAAGAAACAGTCGAAAGACTGCGAATAAAGCAAAAGCTTTCGCAAAGCAGCAAAAGCTTCAAAAACCAAGCCAAAAGCTGCGCAAAGCATAGAATGCTTTCCAAGAAAAAGCCAATTGCTTTCGCAACGAGTAACCGCGAGGTTAACCCGCAAGAAGATAGAACGGATCTTCGGCAAAGTCACGATACCATTCATCACTGAAGGCCAAAAGTTGAGACTTGTGCAGAGTGGAATCTTTCTTGCGCGAGTGAGTCATCGTCTTGAACAAACGCTGAAGATGTAGACGCACCAAAGTCAAACATTGACGAAAGACTCCCATAAACTGTAAAGCCGGGGGGTCGAAAATCGCCTTGTTGCGATTTAGCCAAAGTGTCCGTAAAAGAACACTGCGGACCACATTGAAGAGTCGAACCGGAAGTAGCGAGCCAAAAATCAAAGTGTGATGGGCCGGAACAACCAAGTTGTGTAGGAAGAGAACTTGGGGCCATCCAATATCAGACTGAAAAAGCCGAGAGAACATAGGAAGAAAAAGATGCCACAAACGCTTGGCCATGTAGCAATCCCATAGTAAATGGAGTGGAGTTTCCGAAGTTGCGCAACCGTGAACACAAGTGACTTCGCCCGTGTGCCACTTGTACTTGTAGCGAAAGCCAAGTCCATTGTGTTGAAGCCGAAAGACGAAATCCGAAAAGACTGGCAAAACATCGCGTTGAAGCACCCGTTCAAGCGCCCAATGTGAAGAGTCAACAACCACATCGGGGGCGGAAAGTTGAAGAAGTGGTAGGGGCGGCGGATCGTGGTTAAGCAGTAGCTTCTTGACAACCCGGTTGGACACGTTGACAATGTCAACACCATCAAACGTCCAAACATGAAGCGCGGCGACCCTGGACTCAGGTGGCAGAGGAAAAATTGCAAAGTCTTGATAATGAGCCGGCAAAGCAAGTCGAGGTGCCAGCTTGTTGACCACCGAAGTCAAAGAACGGCCTGGTTTAATCGACGAAGAGCTCAACGAGTCTCGAAGCGTAGCCTCGTCCGGAAGCCAGCCAAAAACGGAGCGAAAAGTCGAAGTACGCGTAACACCTTGATGACTGAGAAAGTTGCAGGCCTTCCGATGGAGCACTGCCAGTGTACGCTTATCCTCAGTAAAGCGAAGGAACACATTATTCCAAAGTGGCCAGGTAAGCTTGGTCAAAACTGGGTTCGCACATTGAAGCTTGAGAATGATCTTGGTACTCCATGTAGCAATAGCAGCCCTCCAATACGCGGGAACTGCTTGCCAGCGAGATGATTGTGCCGACGGTGAAAGGTGGACGTAGAGAAAGTCCAAACCCGAACCTTGACCACAGAAAGCCGAATCGATCGCAGCTTGGGCAGGAATAAACCACTTAGGCGAAGATGAAAAGTCTTGACGGCAGCGACGAATGAGTTGGCGAAGAAGATTCACTTGAAGGAGTTCCACCGAAGTTGCAACGGAAGGCAAATCAAGTCCGCCCGACGAAGCATCTACGGGATGCCAGACGCTTGGAAATTGACCTCTTGTAGCCGGGTCGTGCACTGCGCTAGACGGAGTGCAATTGATGAAGTTCCGCATGAGCGGATTGAACTTGAGCAGATCTTGTTTCGACACGGCAACGGTACCCAAAAAATGCCATAGTGTCGAGAGAACCATAGTCTTGAGAAGAAGTACGCGACCCCGCAGGGTACGAGCACGCCATCGCCAAGAAATACATAGTTTTTGAAACCGCAGAAGAAGCTGAGAAAGTTGCAGTTGAGGTGTGACAGCCGGCCCGACCGCGATACCCAAAAGCGTTGTGTGTTCAGCGTTTCCCAAAATCCGAACTCCTAAAGCCCGAAGACGATCTTGAAGGATGATATCTGACGAAGTCCATGGCCGAAATGGAAAGAGAACTGTCTTGTCGACATTTAGCCGCATGCCAGTGGCGGCACAGAAGTCTTGGACGCGATCCAGAAACATGGGTGCATGGGAAAGATTGTTCACCAAACCCGTTACATCATCAGCAAAACTGACAAGCTGATGAGAGGTATTGCGAATCTTGATAGCAGAACATGTTGTCGTTGCCCGCAGGTAGCACAGCAAAGGCTCAATAAAGAGCACAAATAAACCGGGCGACAGTGGGTCTCCTTGACGAACGCCGGCCCCCAAGCTGAAGAAGTCCGAGCGTGAAGAGTTGATAAGAACTTGCACAAGAGTTCCGCGAAAGAAAGTCTTGACCCAATGTCGAAAATTCCATCCAAAGCCCCAATGTTGAAGGACTTGGTCTAACGCTTGCCAATTGACACTGTCAAAAGCTTTTGCAAAGTCGAGACAAATAGCCCCAGCCGGAACGTGCGAATTAGCCCGTCGGCAGTGATCTTGAAGGTCTTGAAAGTAGCGGAGAGCGTGCCGGATGTCACGGCCAGGCACGAAGCCAAATTGATCAACATTCAGTAAACTGGGAAGAACTTGGTTGAGGCGATAAGCCAAAGCTTTAGGACCGAACTTGGCATCTTGATTCAGCAAAGTCAAAGGCCGATAGTGCTTGGGGTCCGATCTTGATCCCTTCTTGAATAGTAGAGAGATGTAGGCGCGACGCTGAAACTTGGACATACGACCCATTCGGAATTGGGCAGCATAAACAAGCTCCAAAACTTGGGCCCACGCAGTGGGAAAAAGCTGATAGTATTCCGCAGGAAGTCCATCTGGACCCGGCGATTTACCACGAGCCGTGTGCTTGATGGCAAAGAAAAAATCGTTCGCCGTAATGGGCGCATCGAGCATAGAGGCTTGAGACGACTTGAGCTTCCGAAGGCTATGACAAAGAATATCTTGAAGCTTGGAAGAGTCGAAAAGCTGAGGTTCGACCCCCAAGTCCCGCGAATCCGATTGAAAAACGGTACCCCAATATTGACGATGAGTCAAAAGGATTGTAGACGGGTCCCTGGACAACCCTGAAGACGTGTCGACTGACGAGATCGACAGCCTGAGGTCCGCCGCAGCGGGAGCCCGAAAGAAGTGTTTCGAAGATCGTTCGCTAGAATTGACATCCAAATCAAACTTGGAAGCAGCGTTGCGCTCGCGAAGGGCCGTCGAAAAATCCATATAGTCTTGACGAGATTGATCGCGCTGAAGACGGTTATAATCAGTTGGATCCATCGCAAAGAGCTTCTCGCAATCGCGAGATGTCGTTAGAAGTTGCCGAAGCTGACAAGCGGTGGCATTCTTCCGCCGTAAATATTCTTGAGAAAGAAAAATACGATCGCGCCGTTTGTGCTCGTCCAAGAGACAACCGGGATTCCTGCTTGGGTCAAGAGCCGTGGCTAAGCGCATAAGGCCGCGGTGTAGATGATCTTGAACATGGGCACACTTGAGAAGCCAAGGTGGACACTTGAAAGGCAGAGAGTCATGTGGCGGAGGCTGGTGGGATGAAGCTGAAAATTCCACTGGAACATGATCCGCCCCCCCAAACTTGGTCCCCAGCAAATGACTGGAAGACCGGATGAACTTGTCATAAAAGTCGATACTGGCGAGACAGTAGTCGATGCGGTTCTTGGACTTAGGCCCCGTGAACTCGAGCATTTCCGGGTTCTCGAGGCGCCAGAAGTCAATCAATCCAAGGCTAATCATCCAATCGAAAAGCTCAGAACGGCCAGCGTCGTGAAAGGAAGATCCTGGCGAAGTTTGATCCAGAAATGGGTCCATAGTCATGTTGAAATCTCCCATTACCAAATGAGAGGAAGAGTCGTCGAAGCATCGCGGAAGAGCCGAAAAGAAAGAAGCCCGATCCTCGGCGCGAACAGGCCCATAAACCACGTGAATGTAGACCCGTTGAGTACCCAAAGTGGCAGAGACCACCAAATACCGATCGCGTAAGACTGCGATGGTAGCATAAAGCGAAGTTTCATCGTGAAGATCTTGAAAAGGGTGTGCCCCATTAAAAATCAGGGCAACACCATTGCGGGGCCCAAATTCGGTCGAAGTAGTATTCGACCAAAACGAACAGGCGTGGGCATCCGCAGCATGAAGAAAATAGTCGTTATCTTGAAGCACAAGTTGATTTGAAAGCTTGGTCTCTTGAAGTGCAACAACTTGGTATCTTGAAAGCAGATCTTGGTAGAATTGAAGGCGGGGCATGTTTAATCCATTCACATTGAGTGAAACCGCCTTGAAGGCCCATGCCTCCTGCCTAGAAATGAAGGCTAGGACTTAGGGACCCTTCCGCATCAGGTTTCAAGGCTTGGACAGCCTGAACCAAAGACTTTAAAAAATCGGGCACAGTCTCGTACTGCAAAAGGTCTTTCGCAAAAGAGCTGAAACCGAGGAGCCAAAGGGTGTTATCCGAAAGCAGCGGAACCGTCAAATTAACGAGAAAGTCCGGGATAGTATCCGTGAGGACGAAAAGCTTGATGGGGTCATGATAGACCGTCGGTGCCATAATGTGAAGCACCAAATCCCAGCTGGAAAGAACAAAAAGAGACTTCTTGTCTTGAGCCGAAAGAGGAGGTCCATGACCCAAGAGTTTTTTGAGCATGGTTTTTGCCTTGCCCGTCGCATGAAGAACCCTTGAACATTGCGACTGAGCCACACTCGTACCAGGACGAGTATGAGCCAAAAGCCGACAGACACTTCGGTAATGGGCGAGAGTGTCGAGGCGATCTTTAGACGCCATAGCCGGGAGCATAAGTCCCGGGTTAGCCTCAACCGTAGCCAATTGTTCGAGCGGGGTACGGGAACAGAGGTCTTTAAGAAAGGAGTCAACACACTTGGTGAGTTCCAGTCGTGTCATACTCTCAACTTCATAGCCAATAGTGTATGGGGCTATGATGGAGGTGTAGGCCTTCTTGTCGGCAGCAACAGGACCACACTCCACACAAGTCTCGTCGTCTTCCTCATGACGGACTTCGAGATCGTACTGCCATTGAGCGACGTCCGGGTCAGCGTCCTCAAACCATAGCGAATGGTAGTAATTTGGCTTGACGAGGCCAGTCGCTTGAGCTGTACCAGCGTCAGCGTCGAAGTCATACTTGATCGACTTGGCTTCAACCAGATCAGCGCCAGAACGACCGTAAAGAGCCTTACGATTGGTACCCGCTTTTGCCCATAGCGGCGCACCGGGATTAATCTTGGGGGCATTGATAACTTCACCCAAAAATGCCTCCAAGTTGAAGTCGGAAGGGTCCGAAACAGAATCGTCGACAGCATCACCCAGTGCCGACCCAACGTCGTCATCCGACATGGCGACGTCATCAGTAGGAGAGGTGTCATGATCCGAAGGCGCAACCAGAGAGCCTGATGAATCAGCTTGTAAATCCAGTGAAGAATCAAGTAGAGATTCACGGGCCCTTCGACCAATGGATTCTTTGAGAGACGATGCAAATCCCTGAGGATCAGATTGGATAGGCGCACTGGATAGTGCAGCCGTATCAGAAGCCGGAGACCGTGCAGATTCAGCCTCCTGACGTGCGGCCTCTTCTTCCTGTCGAAGGCGAATAGACGGAGGCGTGACCCTGTTGTAACGAGCAACCTTGTGGTTCACGAAACAAGCACGAAGTTTCACCATGCCGTCATCCGGCGACTCGAATTCAATTTCTCGAAGAGGAGCATCTTGAGATGGGACCAAAACAGATGGCGCCTGATCTTGTCCGAAATAAACAGTCCTTTCCCGCGAGGGAAGGCCGTTGCGCACGAACGTTGGTAGCACGCACGTAGGAGGTGCACCACGTGTAGCAAACCAATCAAAAATCATGCGGTCCGATACTTCATCGGGAAGACGGACCAAGTCAACGAAGTAACGAGAACCGTACTTCGAAAACCGAGCGACCTGGATTTGCGAGCCAAACGCATTGAGCTTAACCAAGCTAAGCTTGGAAGCAGTGTCGTAGGCCGTGCACGTAAAACGGATCCCCGCATTAGGGATCAGCTTGAAGTCTTGCAAAAGACGAGCCTGACGAGCGTCCTTCCACAACTGTGGTTGGTCGTCCTTCGCAAGCTCATCAAGCACCTCAGCGAGATGCTTACGCTTGATCGCATGAGGACAAGGAATCCACATGCGATGCAGCTCCGCCGCATTAGTTGGCGTCGGAGCAAGTTTGAGCGCGTTAAGACGCAAAGCGTCAAAGTTACGAAGAGCAAGCTCAGATTCGCTTGCCGCGAGCAAAGAGTCCGCCGGTAGTTGACGTGGGAACTCAGAGCGTCGAGGCGCTGGGCGTGGCTTCACCAT